GGCCTGAGCAGGGACGCAGGTGCGGAACCTCCCGATCCTGGGAGCCGAGCGGGACAGAGCCTGGGAGACAGTGCGGGAATGGGGCAGGGTGGCACGTGCGAATCCTCCCTTGGACCAGAGCCTCGGTGTGAGGAGAGTTCTGTGCTAGCACTGACGTTTTTAAGACACTTCGGCTTGGCGCTCACCGGCCGCGACACCTCGCCCACAGCCGCACTCGCAGTCCGCACGGTGGTCTGTGCTGCGCATTGACGGCACGTCCGTTCTGCTCTTGTGTGATGGGGAAAGCTTGAAAGCACTGACAGCTTGTTTTACTTTACAGGCAGCTTTACTTGTGTCAATCAGAATAGGTAACATATACATACATGTTCTCATTACGTTATTTTTATTTATTTATTTATTTTTTATTTTTTTTTGAGACAGAGTCTCGCTTTGTTGCCCAGGCTAGAGTGAGTGCCATGGTGTCAACCTAGCTCACAGCAACCTCAAACTCCTGGGCTCAAGTGATCCTCCTGCCTCAGCCTCCCAAGTAGCTGGGACTACAGGCATGCGCCACCATGCCCGGCTCATTTTTTCTATATATATATTAGTTGGCCAATTAATTTATTTCTATTTATAGTAGAGACGGGGTCTCGCTCTTGCTCAGGCTGGTTTCGAACTCTTGACCTCGAGCAATCTGCCCGCCTCGGCCTCCCAGAGAGCTAGGATTACAGGCGTGAACCACCGCGCCTGGCCATTATGTTATTTTTAAATGTTCACAATTTTATTTTGATAAATGAAAAATTAGAAAAGTCATATCACGGCTGTCGGCTAAAGTCGACGCTGGGCTGTGGGTGTTCATCTGTGGCTGTCGACTGTAGTCGACGCTCGTACTGAAGTGGTTAAAGGATAAATTCCTTCAGGACTTGCAAGTAAGGAAAGTTCTGCAAATTCAACTACATGAGAACAAAGGTTTTTTATGTTTTTTAATAGCAAAAACATTGTAGAGAAGCTCAAAAACCAATAGCTGGAAGAAGATATTTTTAACTTATATCACAGGAAAAGGTGATTATGTCCCTAATATATAAAGAACCCAAATCAGTAAGAAATAAAAAAGAGGCCGGGCGCGGTGGCTCAAGCCTGTAATCCTAGCACTCTGGGAGGCCGAGGCGGGCGGATTGCTCGAGGTCAGGAGTTCGAAACCAGCCTGAGCAAGAGCAAGACCCCGTCTCTACTATAAATAGAAAGAAATTAATTGGCCAACTAATATATATATATATAAAATTAGCCGGGCATGGTGGCACATGCCTGTAGTCCCAGCTACTTGGGAGGCTGAGGCAGAAGGATTGCTTGAGCCCAGGAGTTTGAGGTTGCTGTGAGCTAGGCTGACGCCACGGCACTCACTCTAGCCTGTGCAACAAAGTGAGACTCTGTCTCAAAAAAAAAAAATAAATAAAAATAAAAAAAATAAATAAATAAAAAAGAAAAGCTTTACCAACAGATAAAATAAACAGGTCACACATACAGTTTTAAAAAAAACCACCTCAAACAGAAAAATGCTCGTGGCACTCACAACAGGAAACGCCACCCATTAACTGAAGGAAGGTTCAGGATGTGTTTCGGAACCTGGGAGGGACAGTCACTGTCCAGGAAAAACCAGTTCGCCTCAGGGACCCTGGCGTCTTGGCGAGGTTTCTAGTCAGAACTGTCTGTCAATGTTTTCCTCAAAATCTTCACAAGTTTCCTACTTCATTTTTAGGTATTGAACATTTTTAGTGGCTTTTTAAAATTGAGATGTTCCTTTCGTTACATCTTCTAATTGGTTGTGCTTGGTAAATAGGAAAGCTATTCATTTTGATGCATTAATTTTGAACTTCATTAATATAGTTTTTAAAAGTTACAGTTTTGAATCTTTGTGGCATTATGGTCAATTTTTGTGAGTGACTCACAGAAAATTGATATTAATAGGCAGTTTCAGTGTGCAGTCTCAAATCTGTTGGATTCATCATATAATGCTTATATAGAATACGTGGTCACACTCTGTCCACTTGATCTACAGTGCACTGAGAGAGGCGGGGTCATCTCTCCTTTTAGATTTTTTTTTTTTTTTTTGAGACAGAGTCTCGATTGTTGCCCAGGCTAGAGTGAGTGCCGTGGCGTCAGCCTCGCTCACAGCAACCTCAAACTCCTGGGCTCAAGCAATCCTGCTGCCTCAGCCTCCCGAGTAGCTGGGACTACAGGCATGCGCCACCAATGCCCGGCTAATTTTATATATATATGTAGTTGGCCAATTAATTTCTGTCTATTTATAGTAGAGACGGGGTCTCGCTCTTGCTCAGGCTGGTTTCAAACTCCTGACCTTGAGCAATCCACCCGCCTCAGCCTCCCAGAGAGCTAGGATTACAGGCGTGAGCCACCGTGCCCGACTCCTTTTAGATTTTTATTTTTGTCTATTCCTATTTTTATCTAATATGGTTTAGCTTGATAAATATTTGCTGTTTGTGAACAGGCCCATTGAAAGGCATAAACATTATGTCTTCATTTTAAATTCATTAAAATTAACATCATGATAAGATGTTCCCTTGTCGATCTTGGCAGCCAAGCCTCTCCCCTCAACCCCTGGTACCTGACAAATATTGATCTGCTTTCCGTTGTGATAATTTCGCCTTTCGAAGACTCTTACAGTGGTGGATTTGTATAGTGTTTTGGGCAGTCCTTTGTGTCTGACTGAATTCTGACACTAAGCAAAATCCTTTTGAGATGCCTTCAGGCCATCACACGTGTCAGCGGTCCGTTCCTCATTGCTGAGTAGTATTCGTGGTATGGATACAGCACAATTTACTTGTACCCCTATTACACAGAAATCTACTATGGACACCATACAGGACCTTATGTGAACATATATGGTTATTTCCCCTGGAAAAATCCCCAGGGGTGAAATCTCTGGGCTGCGTGGTAAAAGTATATTTAACTTTATGCTGAGTTAAATTGCCACATTGTTTCCCAAAGCTGTTGTATAATTTGCATTCCCAGGAGCACTAGGAGACAATCCCAGTTGCTCTATACCCTCACCAACACTTGGTACTATTGATTATTTCAGTTTTTAGCCATTCTGGAGGTCTGTTTTCATTTGCTGTCCTTAACTGCTAAACATTTTTCCTCTCCTTATTTGGCATCCATATATTTTCATTGGTGAAATCAATGAAATCTTTTGTTCATTTTTCAGTTGGGTTGTTTCACACCTTATTACTGAGTTGTAAGATTTCTACCTTTTAGATTTTACTTAGTGGTATTTGGCAGTTTTATAATGATGTGCATGTGTGTGGCTTTCTTTGTGTTTATTCTGCTTGGAGTTCATAGTAATTCTTAAATCTGTAGTTCCATGTCTTCTTAAAGTTGTGCAATATTCTCATTCTCTCTTCACATATTGTTTCTACCAGGTTTTCTCTCTCATTTTTGACTGGAACCTTAATTATCCATTTGCTAACTCTTTCAACCATATCCCATGTGTGTCTTTGGTCTTTCCTGTATTTGCAATCCTTCCAGCTCTCTATGCCTCAGTCTGACCTGCCTTCAATTCCATGATTCTTTCTTTTGTTGTGTCTATATTACTGTTAAATCCATTTACTGTCTCTTTGGTTTACTTCAGTTTTCAGTTCCAAATTTTCTGTTTCTCTCTTACAGTGTACACTTTCTGCTGAAATTCTCCACTTTTTATTTTAATTCCTTGAATGTGTAAAGCATGCTTTGCTTATAATAACTCCATTGCAAATGAATTCATTGTATCACTTTTGTAAGTCTAAAACAGGCGTTTGTTTTTTACTTCAAAATAAGATATGTGGCCGGGCACAGTGGCTCACGCCTGTAATCCTAGCACTCTGGGAGGCCGAGGTGGGCGGATTGCTCGAGGTCAGGAGTTCGAAACCAGCCTGAGCAAGAGTGAGACCCGGTCTCTACTATAAATAGAAAGAAATTAATTGGCCAACTAATATATATAGAAAAATAAAAATTAGCCGGGCATGGTGGCGTGTGCCTGTAGTCCCAGCTACCTGGGAGGCTGACGCAGGAGGATCCCTTGAGCCCGGGAGTTTGAGTTGCTGTGAGCTAGGCTGACGCCACGGCACTCACTCTAGCCTGGGCAACAAAGCGAGACTCTCTCTCAAAAAAAAAAAAAATGTGCAGTGTGCATAGGAATTTGTTCATAGTTTTTTTAAAACTATAGTCCGGCCCTCCAACAATCTGAGGGACAGAGAATTGGCCCCCTGTTTAAAAAGTTTGAGGACCCCTGGTCTAAAAGTTTAGATTTTGTAAGTTTAAAAGCATGCCAGACAATACTACAGAGTACTTAGGGGCACATACATATATAATAAAAACATAAATATATGGAATTAACAGCAAATTCAGGATGGTATTGCCTTTGGGTTAGGAGGAGGTAACTGGGAATGGTTTGGAAAGGAGGACACGGTATGTCTTAGTTCTTGCCAGGGACTGTAGGGTGGCCTTTGCTCTCTGTTTTCCATGTGTTAGGAATTGGGCAATAACGAAAAGGCCACCGCGTGTGTCTAAGGTAAGGCCCTGAGGGATGAACAGCCGGACGAGAAGGCGACGGGGAGGTGGGAGCTCGAGAGGAGCCCGGGCTGGGGCTGTGCGGACGGTGGCTCCCGTGACGTGGGGGACAGAGCAGGACAAGCGGTCGGGCCGGGGAGGTGTTCCGCAGGCAGCAGGGATCCCTGGTGGATTTGACGCGGGGTGTGGGACAGAAGGAAGGGGCATGGACAGCTCCCAGGTCATCCTGGGGCCTGAGAGGAGGGTGGACTTCCCGTGTGCAGGGGGAGGCGCGGGCAGGGGAGGAAAGCAGAGGCCGGGGGCGAGATGTGCCAGCACAGAGCCGTGGGGTGCAGTCGGGGACAGGGACGGGTCGGCAGCCCAGGGAGGAGGTGGCTTCTACCACATGGAGGACCTCGGCCTACCTTGTAAAAAGAAAGTAGGGAAAACAAAACCGAGATAGTAACTTTGTACGTATTTTTAAGATTTATTTAGGGAGAACTCAACCCTGTCACCGTAAGTTGATCCTACTTGTGAAACTCACACACACAGCCCCACAGAGAAGAGTCAGTAGAAGCCGCCTGTTCTTGGTGCAGACCGGGCAAACTTCTCTGCGATTGTTTCTACTGTAGGTTTCGAAGGTGTGAAAACAGCATTTAAAGATTCATATTCTGGTTAATTCCCACCACTCTCTATACAGTGTAATGCTCTATTTAAGCTGATTTCTCTAGTCACTTTGCAAATAAAATGTACAGACCGACATTCACGGCTCTGCCCCCAAGATTCTCAGAACAGTTACCAGGCCCACAGCCAGATCCGACGGGAGGTGGTGTCTGAAGATGAAGGCACATGTGCTAGGACCATGTAAATTGTAGGATATTAACTAGTAAGTAGCACGTGATAAAAATTAGTAAAAGCTAAAGATATGAAAGTTAACAGTTTGTGTATAGAAAAGCAATCTTTTACATGCTGGGTTGAAAGTCTGTAGGAGAATTTTTAAACTCATATTAAATGTTGCTTAGCTGGATAGAAGGCCTGTCAGTGCAGAAATAATTTTTTTTTTTTGTAATCCTCAAAGAAGAAAGTGGCATACACTTTAATTCATGGTTACATAGTTGGCTGGAAAAATGCCAGTTTGACCTCGGAGCTTTCCCTCCCACCAGTCGAAATGCGAGTCTGTCTTGGACGTAACTGTGATTTTGTCTCCAGCTTGGAAACTCAGATCCCCTGGCTGCTGTCCTTCGAAGGAATAGAGAGCCGTCACTTCTATCGGTGGGTCTGAACCGCCTAAAACAAACAGACAAAAATTTGAGTTAGTCGTGATTTTTAGGGGAAAAATTGGGAGTATGTAGATAAGTCAACCACTTAGTGTTGGGTACCCTGTTGCCCCAGAGAGCAGCGGAACCCACAGCACGTATCTGTGCGGTTTTCATCACCTTGTTAAACTTGACATTTTGTTTTTCCTCTGTGGAAAGAGCCAACTCTTGGCAATCACATTTCCCAAATCCACGTAAGTTAGGGCTGCACATTATTATGCACCTGTCACCTGTGTATTTGGCAAATTTTTTTTTTTTTTTGAGACAGAGTCTCGCTTTGTTGCCCAGGCTAGAGTGAGTGCCGTGGTGTCAGCCTCGCTCACAGCAACCTCAAACTCCTGGGCTCAAGCAATCCTGCTGCCTCAGCCTCCCGAGTAGCTGGGACTACAGGCATGCGCCACCACGCCCGGCTAATTTTTTGTATATATATTTTTAGTTGGTCAATTAGTTTCTTCCTATTTTTAGTAGAGACGGAGTCTCGCTCAGGCTGGTCTCCAACTCCTGACCTTGAGCGATCCGCCCGCCTCGGCCTCCCAGAGTGCCAGGATGACAGGCATGAGCCACCGCGCCCGGCCGTTGGCAAATGTTTATGGTCGTGATTGTTTGAATTATGAATAGTCTGTGAGATAACTATTTATTTACATTTATTACGTTTATAAACGTGAATTATTTATTTACATTTTCCCCATTTTAACAGAACAGTCCTGGTATGGTCCGAATGTCTATTTCCCCCCAGTTCATACGTTGAGGTCCACACTCAAGGTGACGGTGGTGGAAGGTGGGGCTGGGGGAGGTGATGAGGCCATGGACGCTCCGCCGTGGGCCGTGGGCGGGATCCGTGGCCTCACAGACGAGGCCTGAGGGAGGACGAGGGAGGCGCCATCCCTGGGCGGACACTGAGCCCTCAGTGCCCTGAGTCTCCCACACTCGCACCTTGCACTCCCGCCTGCAGGGCTGTGAGCACAGGTTGGCGCTGTTCCAGCCTCCCGGTCTCTGGCGGTTTGTTACAGCCGCGCAGGTGGACCCAGACGGCCGCCACCGGATCACGGGCGTTAGAAAGTGACGTCTGTGCTCACGGTTGAATCACGAAAGATTCTACCGAGAAACCACCCTCTTTCCTCCCTGGCCCCGGGGAGTCCACCTCAGGTATATTTTGCTCTTTCCTCCCTGGCCCCGGGGAGTCCACCTCAGGTATATTTTGCTCTTTCCTCCCTGGCCCCGGGGAGTCCACCTCAGGTATATTTTGCTCTTCCTCCCTGGCCCCGTGACTGTTTGCGTTTCTGTGCGTATTTGCCTCGTTCTCTCGGTACCAGAGACGAAGCTGAGATGGGCACACCGAGAAGCTTGTCCACACGTGTAACAGGCGTTTCCATACAGTGTGTGTGACTTGGTGCATTGGATCAGGAAGAAGATAGTTTGAGGGTTGAGTGGTCAACATGAATAAAAGACATTAAATATCACAAACGGTATGACATCATAAAAATATAAAGAAATGAACACTTTCTGTCCATGTAGCTATACCGAGTCTGATTCTTCTATGATATTCATAAATTCTGCGCATATATCAGGCAAATTAGATGTTAAATGCATCTAAGTACAGATATAAAGAAAACATCAAGAGCCAAACTCTAGACCCAGTTCCTTTTTGAACCCGTAATACTATAATTAAAAAAATAAAGTTGAACTTGGACAGTCAGTAAGAAATAAAAATAGTCAATACTTTAATTAAACCACATTGACTGAAACAGGGAATTTGCAGCTCTCACAAGATGGTGCTGCAGTTCTTTCTATAAAGTACGTAACATCTAGTTCTTTGGGTTCTCCTAAAGAAATAATCCTAATAACCAAAATAATTACATTAGAAATACTACTGGTTTAACTGATTTTTTTCTATGACACAAAGAATTTCTGCATATTTTTATATTTTATATTTACTTTTTATAGTCTATCAATGTTAAAGAAAAAAGGTTAAAAGAATGTCACAAAAATAAAATTCTGATATAGTCCAAAAACAGTAAAGACGAGGCAAACAACTGTGGATGCATATTAACAAGCAGTCATTCTGCACACCGTGAAAAGTAGCTGTGAAACTGCCTTGGGGTGGTATTCAGCAAGCACTCATATCATGCTTCGCTGTAGTCAGATCAGAAGAATGTAATCTAATGCTAAAAAAAAAAAATTCTGAAAATGTTCTTAACAATTATATTTAGACCCCATGTGTGACGTCAGTCCCGGGCAACCAGACCCCAGCACCGAGGGCCCCCGGAGCTGTCCTCGCTCTCATCCCCGGCTCCTGAACACCAGAAACGTCCGGAAGCCACAGCCAGCATAGCTGCCACACACTGACCCATGCGCAGTTCTAGTTATGAGGGCAAGATGCACACTGAGGGTGGTGCCATGGTAACGGTGTCAATCCACCACTGAGGCGGGAGGACCGCTTGAGCCCAGGAGTGTGAGGTTGCTGTGAGCTGGGCTGACACCACAGCACTCTAGCCCGGGTGACAGGGCGAGACTCTGTCTCAGGGAAAAAAAAAAAAGCAAATAAGAGAACAAAAGTATAGCATTTTTAAAATGAAATACTTCTCAAAAAAATGTAGCTATCCTATAAATCAACAATAGTGCTAAGAGATTTTTCCTGTCAGATTTATTAGAAAGTTTGTGATTATAAGATAGATATGATTTTTAACATATAGAAATTTTATTTACCAACTGTCTGATGATAGCTGGAAAGTTCAGGGTAGAGCTTATATTCATTTCTGTTACCTGCAAGAAAAGAGGGGGGGGAGACTTAGAAAACTTAATGTACATTATATAAAATACACAAAAAAGCCAAAGCCTGCCCTTGCTAAGCAAATATTTTAAATTGCTATAATTGATAGGGTTATCATTATTTAATCATGCTTTAAATCAAGAGGTATGCTTGAATAAACCCACAAGATACACCAAGCATAAGGCAGATGGTGCATAGCCCATATCTGCATGACACTGAATTACACACACTGTAACTCACCGCCTTCTAGGCACACATGCATGGGAAATACAGAAACATTTCTTTCCAGAAGCAATCATAAAATGCCTGTAGCCCCTAAGGCAATGATTATGTTCTTTTTGTTTCTTGCAAAACCCCCTAAAATAATTTTTATGCAGTGTACATTCATGTTGTTGCACATTTTCAAGGTAAGCTTAAAGAGTTGTAAAGGGAGTGCCTTTTAACACATTTCACATGCCAGTTACTTAAATTAATCATAGTTCTCCTTTTTGGATAAAAGAATCTAAATACCACAGTGATCTGAAACCTGTCACTCATTAAGGAAGACCAACAAGCTGTTTTTTAATAGTCATAAATTATGCAGTATTTATTTTTAACCTTAAAATCATACTTTCATTCCATTTGTTCAAAAGATTTTATAGTATTGTATATATACATATATATATATATGCATATATATATATATTTGTTGTTGTTGCTACAGAGTCTCACTCTGTCACCAGGGCTAGAGTGCAGTAGTGTCATCATAGCTCACAGCAATCTTAAACTCTTGGGCTCAAGGGATCCTCCTGCCTCAGCCTCCTGAGTAGCTGGGACTATAGGAATGTGCCAGGTAATTTTTCTATTTTTGCAGAGACAGGGTCTTGCTGTTGCTCAGGCTGGTCTTCAACTCCTGGCCTCAATCAAACCTCCTGCCTTGGCCTCCCAGAGTGCTGGGATTACTAGTGTGAGCCACCACATCCGGCCTTATTATTATTAGGTTATTATCTCTGATATTTCACTTTGACACTTTCTGTTTTAGGTTTATTGTGAAGGTACATCCTCAGTCTTTCAAATGCACATTTTGGCTTGTGATTATCTTTCAAATTTTTTTTTAGAGCAATTTTTGTGAAACCATGAATAAGTCAATTTGTGTTATTTTCGAATATGAGTTCCATCGTGGAACCAATGTAGCACAGACAGCTCGAAATATTAACGAAGTGTTTGGGAAGGACGTGGCTGATGAACACACAGTATGCCGATGGTTTGAGAAGTTCCGTTCTGGTGGTTTTAATCTTGAAAATGAGCCAGGGGGCGACCTGAGACCAAGGTGGATAATGATGAGCTGGCAGCTGTAGTGGAAGCAAATCCGTCTCAACCTACAGGTGAATTAGCAGCAAGGTTTGACATTACTATTTCAACAATATTGGACCGTTTGAAACAAATGGGCAAGGTAAAGAAGCTGGCTAGATGGGTGAAGTACGAATTAAAGGAGTGTCAGAACAGAAATCATTTCTAAGTTTGCCATTCTTTGCTATCACGACATAAAGGGGAACAATTTCTTCACTGTATTGTGACCTGTGATGAAAAATGGATTTTTTTGGACAATTGCAAGTGTTTGGCACAATGGTCGGATAAAGATGAAGTGCAGAAACACAGTCCAAGACTGAATGGATATTCATCAAAAAAAGCTACTGGTGTCTGTCTGGTGGTCCAGCGCTGGTTTTATCCACTACAGCCTCATGAAACCTGGTCAATCGATCACAGCAGATGTCTACTGCAACCAATTGGATGGAAGGACAGGGATGTTTGTGCTAAAGCAGCCGAGATTGGTCCACAGAGACAGGCCGGTCCTCTTGCAAGACAACGCTCGACCGAACACAAATCGCACAAACAACGCTGCTCAAACTGCAGAGGCTGGACCCGGAAACTCTGTCATCCACTGTGTTCACCAGACCTTGCACCAACTGGGGAGAGTTATGGGAGTGTTATGGTGGGGAATGCTTACGGTGGGGAGTGTTGTGGTGGGGCGTGTATGTGGAGGGGAGTGTTATGGAGCGGAGTTATGGAGGAGAGAGTTATGGTGGGGAGTCTTACGGGTGGAATGTTTATGGTGGGGAGTGTTATGGTGGGGACTGTTTACAGTGGACAGTGTTATGGTGGTCATTGTATATGGTGGTCATTGTGTATGGTGGGCAGTGTTAGGGTGGTGAGTGTATATGGTGGTCATTGTATATGGTGGGGAGTGTTATGGTGGTGAGTATATATGGTGGTCATTGTGTATGGTGGGCAGTGTTACGGTGGTGAGTGTATATGGTGGTCATTGTGTATGGTGGGCAGTGTTAGGGTGGTGAGTGTATATGGTGGTCATTGTGTATGGTGGGCAGTGTTAGGGTGGTGAGTGTATATGGTGGTCATTGTGTATGGTGGGCAGTGTTACGGTAGTTAGTGTATATGGTGGTCATTGTGTATGGTGGGCAGTGTTAGGGAGGTGAGTGTATGTGGTGGTCATTGTGTATGGTGGGCAGTGTTATGGTGGTGAGTGTATATGGTGGTCATTGTGTATGGTGGGCAGTGTTAGGGTGGTGAGTGTATATGGTGGTCATTGTGTATGGTGGGCAGTGTTAGGGAGGTGAGTATGTGGTGGTCATTGTGTATGGTGGGCAGTGTTAGGGAGGTGAGTGTATGTGGTGGTCATTGTGTATGGTGGGCAGTGTTAGGGTGGTGAGTGTATATGGTGGTCATTGTGTATGGTGGGCAGTGTTAGGGTGGTGAGTGTATATAGTGGTGAGTGTATATGGTGGTCATTGTATATGGTGGGCAGTGTTACGGTAGTTAGTGTATATGGTGGTCATTGTGTATGGTGGGCAGTGTTATGGTGGTGAGTGTATATGGTGGTCATTGTATATGGTGGGCAGTGTTATGGTGGGGAAAGTTTATGGCAGAGTGTTCTGGTGGGAAGTGCTATGGTGGTGAGTGTATATGGTGGTGAGTGTATATGGTGGTGAGTGTATATGGTGGTGAGTGTATATGGTGGGAGGTGTTAGGGTGGTGAGTGTATATGGTGGGCAGTGTTAGCGTGGTGAGTGTATATGGTGGTGAGTGTATATGGTGGGCAGTGTTATGGAGGGGAATATTTATGGCAGGGCGTGTCCTAGTGGGCAGTGCTATGGTGGGGAGCAAATATGGTGGGGAGCGTTACGGTGGGAATGGCAAATGAGACTCTACTGCTGTAAAAACTTTTGAAAAGTATTTCACTAAATGTGTTAAAACTTTTAAAGTATATCCTTTGATCTATCATGTTCACTTCTAGTAATTATCTCCAAAAACTAAAAGTGCCAGTATGCAGAGAGATTAATTTAGAAGGATATTAATGGTGGCACTATTTGGCATGGAAAAAGCGTGCAATAAAATTAATTCCCATCAGTAGGAGAAGGGGTGGATGAACTACGTAACCCAGCGCCGTGGAATATTACATAGCAGTTAAGAAGGACTGTCTAGAGCTATACTAGTTGACTTGGGGACTTCTATGAGGTGTTACTGAGCAAAACAAACCAACAAGCAAATAAATGAAAATAAATAAATACAAGATACAACATAGCATGTATAATATGATAGCATTTTTGTGCAACAAAACAAGATATTCTGTGAGTTTGTACATGTGCTTGTGTGTGGGACTATACAAGACTGGAAACATATGTAAAAATCTACACTGCACGTTGTGAACATGGGTCTCTTGGCATGAAGCTGGGAGAGAGTGTTGTGAGAGTTGAAATATAGGAGAGATGGGAAGACAGCAGCAAATCAAGAGGGAAAGAAAAAATGCTGCATTTGAAACCCATTTATATGAACCTCATGTGAATTTATATAGAATTACATTTAGATGTGAGGATATGTAAAGAAATTAAAAACAAAGGTTTAGTTTTTTTAAAAAAAGAACTTAGGAATAGGTCAAATTTAAAAGAGGAGGTTAAAAATAGATACCAGTTTCAAATTTTCCCTTTCTTGAATTAAAAACCGAGGGGGAAGGAGCGTGTTCGTGAGAGCGTGTCGTGAGTGAGGCTGAGTTTGCAGCGTGCACCAGGCACTCGAGAACTGGCGAGGGCACAGCCGTGACCGCACAACACGGGAGGGCTCGTGGGTCTCCACGAGGAAGGGCCTGCGTGGGACATGCCCAGGCCGCACGGGCAGAGGGCCTGTTTGCACGGCACATGCCCCGGGGGGCCAGATCTCCTGAGCTTCTGCATTATTAAGGAAAAGGAATTCCTACAGTAACAGTAGTTTTCTAATCTACACTGATAAGGAATTGACGGTAAAAAGACCAGGATTTTCACATATGCACAGGATGCGTATATAGACATGACACAGCGATCTCATCTCTTTGTGAGAAAATTTGAGCAACCTTATGTGTTTTAAAACCTACACGTGGGTCAAATCTTATATAACCACTGAGATCCAAGATAAAAATAGATTTGGTGCTCACATCTCATTACTCACTGGAAACACGAGTATGAGCACATTAATCATCTGAACGTGAATCAGCAGCAGACGACCCGCCTTGGAAGATGAATGCCGTGGCCCAGGGGAACAGGAGACAGGCTGAGTTATGGGAGGTGGGTGGGGAATGAAGAAGAATAGGTCTCGTTCCTGAGACTCCTCCCGGGAGGGCGAACTCAGACAAGGTGAAGGCAGAGCGGGGAGTCGACACGAGGGGCAGGGGCCAACATCACAGGAGGGGGCTGAGGCTGAGCCTCCTGCCTTCTGCAGGACATCGATGTTTGCTCCGCTCCCCTCAAAACCTACAACATGCCTCCTTCCGCTAATAGCAGTTATTTCTCTACAGGCACCGTCTCCTCCTATACTGAAAGTTCTTTAAAGTCAGGATGCAAGTCAGAGTCACCTCCTGTGCTCCCAAGAGCCACGGCCCAGGGCCTCTTGTGCAGCAGGGGGCCACTGCAGGGGAGATCACCCACCTAAATGCATTTCTCCTTGCTGGTAACCTCGATGCAAGACAAACAGAATTCTAACAGTGTTTGCCATGAAAATGAATGCTACAGAGGTAAAGACCAAAATCAGGTGCTTTATATAAGTTTCATCTAGTTTTAAAACGACCTTCTGCAATCCTGAGCTCACGGGAATATACTCAGCATTGTACATCTATGGGTATGCAAGAAAAATAAGCTTATTTTGTTCACATTTGGTATCAGCAGGATAATAGTCTTTGGAAGAAATGACAAAATAAATATGAAAAACTTTAAAGATAAATTTCTGTAGAGAATGAAAACAGAAGTTTTCACCAATTATACCAATGAGAATTTTTGTCGTATGTATGTATGTATTTTGAGACAGAGTCTTACTTTGTTGCCCAGGCTAGAGTGAGTGCCGTGGCATCAGCCTAGCTCACAGCAACCTCAAACTCCTGGGCTCAGGCGATCCTACTGCCTCAGCCTCCCGAGTAGCTGGGACTACAGGCATGCACCACCATGCCAGGCTAATTTTTTTTTCTGTATATATTAGTTGGCCAATTCATTTCTTTCTATTTATAGTAGAGACGGGTCTTGCTCTTGCTCAGGCTGGTTTTGAACTCCTGACCTCGAGCAATCTGCCCGCCTCAGCCTCCCTGAGTGCTAGGATTACAGGCGTGAGACACCACGCCCGGCCTTGTATTATGTATTTAGTAGATGCTAAGCATTTATTTTTTCTCTCTTAAATACCTATTAGTTGGCCGGGCGTGGTGGCTAAGGCCTGTAATCCTAGCACTCTGTGAGGCCGAGGTGGGTGGATCGCTCAAGGTCAGGAGTTTGAGACCAGCCTGAGCAAGAGAGAGACCCCATTTCTAAAAATAGAAATTATTTGGCCAACTAAAAATATATAGAAAAAAATTATCTGGGCATGGTGGCACATGACTGTAGTCCCAGCTACTCAGGAGGCTAAGGCAGAAGCCTTGTTTGAGCCCAGGAGTTTGAGGTTGCTGTGAGCTAGGTTGATGCCATGGCACTCTAGCCCAGGCAATAGCATGAGACTCTGTCTAAAAATAAATAAATATGTATATATATATATATATACTTATTAGTTGTTCTATTTGACTCTAAAGTTTAACAATGTATCTTGACTTCTTAACAATAATAATTAATCACAATTGTATCTGAATTGCAATAAAAATATTTACTTTGAGAGCCAGAGTTCAGCTGGGCTGGTGCAGAGGAAGGCTTTGGTCTCGACACTGGTTTTGGGGGCACTTCTTTACCCTGGGGGAACAAAAACAAATGCACATAATTCTAAAACTCTGTTTTTACTTAGACGCAGATAACACTGTTTCCTGCTAATGAGTTTATGTGGCAGTTTTATCCTGTGCACTTATCAGCAAGGTACCCCGAGAGCTCACGTGTACCCCTGTGGCCTGTGAGCAGTTGAAGAGGTGGATGACGAGATTCAGATGTGCACAGGTGTGCTCTTCTCACACCTGGGAGCTGACCTCACCCGGGCTCCTCCGACAGCCCGTGCAAGGCCGTGAGGCGTAGCAGGCATGAGGCTGCGGTCCCGGCCCAGCCTGGACTGGGAGAGGCAGCGGCAAACAAAACGCTAAGCCGCGGCTTTCGTTCTGCACCAGAGCAGCCCGTGTTGTGAACCAGGTGGGTGAGGCACGCGAGACCCTTGGTGCTTCAAGGCCTGACATCTCAGCATTGCAGCTGTCACTGGTATTATTAATCAACATCCCAAAGAGCCATCCTTGGAGAAAAGCAGCCATGGAAGACAGACTGCGTGTTTCCTTGGAATTTGCACAGGTGAAACGTCAAGGTGTGGGACACTCACAAGGACGTCATTATGTGAATGAAATCACGCAGGGAGCCTAGCCGGTGATTGGCCTGGGGTCGGGGACAGAACGCTCTGCACAGAGCAGCTTCCCGGCTGCTGGGGGACACAGAGCCCAGCCCTACCGAGGACTTCCGCTGCTCTCTCGCCGCCCTCCTCGCGTTGACGCGCTGCCCTTCCTTTTCGTACTTCTCAGTAAAGGAGTCGAGGATTTCATAGAGGTCTTCTGCTTGAGCAGGCCGTGCTATGTCTCCAAATAAAATATCATACGCGCGAATATCTTGACAGTAAAATCTGATAAATACAAAATTAGAGACGTGTCTTCAGTGTACACAGGTCTTTTCTGGAGTTACATATGCACGTGCATGTGTGTACGTGTGACCGCTCATACGCAGCGCTTCATCTGTCCCACTGTCTCAACACGGGCTGCAGGCCAATACCCCGAGTTTAGCTCTTACATTTACTGCTAGCGGCAACTACCGTAACTATGATGGGTGTCCTTTCTCTAGTAACATAAAAGCACATCCACATATGCACACGAATACGTACACATATGCACACACATGTATTTATAGATAAACACCTTTAGAAATATACATACAAGCACATTTTATAAGACTTTTTAAGTTTCCCATAAAAATAGTATCTTAGCACTCCAGGAGGCCGAGGAAGGAGGATCACTTGAGCTCAGGAGTTTGAGATGAGCCTGAGCAAGAGCAAGACCCCGTCTCTACTAAAAATAGAAAAATCAGCCAGGCATGGTGGCGCATGCCTGTAGTCCCAGCTACTCGGGAGGCTGAGGCAGGAGGATCACTTGAGCCCAGGAGTTTGAGGTTGGTGTGAGCTAGGCTAATGCCACTGCATTCTACCCAGGGCGACAGTGTAAGAATCTGTCTCGAAAAACAAAACAACAAAAAAAAACCTAAACAGTGTCTACACATATGGCTTTATAATTTCTTTAAAATGCTTAGTTATATCAAAATTAAATAAGGATTTGCCTTGTATGTTCCAAAGCCCTGCAATTCATTAAGCAGTATATTTGTTTTACTTTATCCAGGATTTAGTTGAACTTTAGTCATAAAGTCTTCCAAAGGCCTAGAACCTGAACTTCTAAAAGCATTCTTGTTTTTCTCAAATTAAAAAAAAAAACAGAAGTAAAAACATTGCTCTTGATTTTATGAGATATTATGATGACAATTATATACGGCAAAACAAGGAAAAGTACGCCTAGGTCAGGAAAATGTTGGAAGGCAATAAAGCCTAATGGGAATAGTGTTAGTCTTAATGGGCTAGAAATTTTTTCCTTTTAATTTTTGAGTTCTCTAAATTTTCTATAAGTACATAATACTTATCTGGAATTTTAAAATGTAAAATACATACAGCCACGTGCTGTATTAAAAAGGATACACAAATGCACACCGTAAATTATATCAATTTTTGAAGAATTGTTTTCTCATAGCACTTTGTTTAAGCAGATCACAATCACCTTGGCTTGAACTTACTTCCGGTTAGTTTCCTTCCTTTCAATCAGGCAGCTCCCCTCCAGAGACACGCCGGCGAAGAGCCCTCGCGACCTGCAGTACGTGAAGACGGCGGCCGAGCTCCTCAACGCCACGTTCCCTTCCAGGTTCCTGCAAAGCCGGGGTTTCGTAGCACAGAACTCTGAGAGGCCCTCACCCTAAACACGCTACTGGGAGAGGGGAACACTCCTACACTGCCCGTGGGACTGCAAACCAGTGCAACCTCCGTGGACAGCAATATGGAGACACCTCAAAGCGATACGAGTGGATCTACCATTCGATCCAGCAATCCCACTACTGGGCATCTACCCAAAAGATCAAAAGTCACTTTATGAAAAAGACGCCTGCACTCGAATGTTTATAGCAGCACAATTCACAATCGCAAAGCTGCGGAAACAACCCAAGTGCCCATCAATACATGAGTGGATTAATAAAATATGGTATATGTATACCATGGAGTACTACTCAGCTTTAAGAAACAATGGTGATCTAGCACCTCTTGTATGTTCCTGGATAGAGCTGGAACCCATTCTACTAAGTGACGTATCTCAAGAATGGAAGAACAAGCACCATGTGTACTCACCAGCAAATTGGTATTAAGGGATCAACACCTAAGTGGACATATAGGAGTAACATTTATCGGGTGTCGGGAGGGTGGGAGGCGGGAGGAGGGGATGGGTGTATACAACCACAAGGAGTAAGATGTGCAACGTTTGGGGGTTGGACACGCTTGAAGCTCTTACTTGATGGAGGAGGGGGGCATGGGCAATATATGTAACCTTAACACTTGTACCCCCATAATACGCTAAAAAAGAAAAGACGCTATTGGAGCAGCAGAATCGCGATTCTGGCCCCAAAGAAGCGTCCCGTTCTGCACTCGATTCATTTGTTTCCGTGTGTTTTACTTCCTATTGGCCCAAGATAAGATGTTTTCACGCAGCCTGGAGGACAGGCGGCCACGGGAGGGAACACGTTTTACAAAACTGCCACAGAGATGTGCTGGCGCGGCAGGCCCTGCCGCAGAATCATGCGGAATATATAAATATATAATAAAAAAACAGAAGAATATGAAAAGCTGATATTTTCCAACTGGATCTTCCTCTTCTAAAGCAGGGATACACATCTCAGGAATGATAAAGAATTTGGATTCTTTTTACCCTGGTGTTTTTCTGGAACCTATAAACCTTTTGAGATGGTTTTACTGTGCAACTTCTATAAATAGTGTGGGAATAAGATATTCCTACATTGCTTAACTAACTCAAGAATAGTATTTCATTAGTAGAAAAGGAACATACACTTTGAGTACAGTCAGAATTGCTCAAGCAAGACACATCCATTTCACACTTTCATGATTTAGTTTGAGGAAAAGCTTTTCTTCCCTGATCAAGGCTGTCCTGTATCGGTTAATAAAAGGCGGCCCCCTCAGAGCTCAGGACAAGCTGCACGTTAGTTCCAGCAGCTATGTGTTTCTACCATATTTCGTTTCTCCTTGTGCGTTCTGGGTCCAGGTGTTTCTGTTTGTTACACTGTCTGTGTTTTGTGAATTTCCTGTTTGTGCTGACCTAGAATCCTCTGGGGGAGGTATACATCATAAATTTCTTCATTTTAATTCAAGTTTGCTCTTCATGCAAAAAAGTACAGTTTTCAGCCTTTACTACCCAAAACGTCTACCCGGAAAGCGCCGTGCAAGACTCACCTCCCCAGCGGCCCGACCGCCACGGTGAAGTTCCCGCCAAGTGTCAGGTTGCCGCCTTTTGCAAAAGCTTCTACTGCTCTGTCGTAATTCAGAATTATTACTAGATCTGACACCTGAAATGCAGAAACCCATTCATTTGCAAACAGTTAAGACTAAATGTGATAAAGCTCAAATACACCATACATAACATAGCTAGATTTCAAGACAGAGAAAGAGCAGGAAAGAAAAATCATATATTCATTTTGGGCCAAGGAGGCAAGAAGCCAATATTGCCACAGGTAATTACAGCAAACCCTCTGTGAGCATTTACTATGCACCGAGTGTATACTGTGACGTTTACCTGCATTCTCTCCCTTAATCTCCCAACACCTGATCACGAAGGTGGTGATTCTGCGGGTTAGTGAGGCTGGGTGAGCTGTCAGTGCTGAAAACCAGAACAAACCAAACCAAACTGGGTGGGGACAACCAAACATGCTCTCCGATCTCTGCAAACTGAACGTGTCGCAAAGCCGAAACCAAAGGACATAGAGCCGGGGACTGTCGGGGCTGAAGGGGCAGGTGACCCCACACTCATCCTGGCAGGTGGTCCACCTGCCTTGGGGAGCCACGCACGGCCACTTCACTGCAGGTCCCCAAAGTTCGGCACCTCAGAAGGCATGCTCGGGGCATGTCAGCATGGAGAAAGCACCTGTTTCTCAAGTTCACCACTACCGTGGGGGAGCCCAAGGGCAGATCAGGAAAGTAGCTCGGCTCAGCAAAGGGGAGCAGCCCTCGGGGTGCAGGCCCAGGTCCCCCCAGCCCTTCTCAGCAGCTGTGAGACTCGGGGTGTTTTAACTGGCCCTGGGTCTCCGGTCGGTCCACACTGGACACCTGAGAACAGAACCTCCCTCATGGAGTGTCGGCGCTCCTGGAAGGCTGAGCGTGCAGCAGGGCCAGTGATCCGGGCTCAAAGGTGAGGCTGCTGGAGTTTGCACCCACTGCCGCCTCCCACATGCAGGGCACCTTGGCAAACCGTCAAGGTGCTGCTCAAAGCCTGTTTCCTTCTCTGAAACAGGTGCAGTAATAGCGACCGCATTTGTGAGGCTGTTACCGTCGGGAAGCCGGGCACGTTGACCAAATCTCAGTAAAACACGCAGAGGCCGGTCAGACTTACGTCTAGATGATGCCCTAATTTACATAGTTCTTTATAGTTCTTTCTGCATGTCTTTAACCACTTCGGTACGAGTGTCGACTATAGTCGACAGCCGCAGATGAACGCGCACGGCAACTTTAGCCCACAGCCGTGATACGACTTTGGCAGGTCTTCTGACCACAAATTCCCTTGGATTCTGTTTGTCTAATAAAAAACGTCTACTTTGCCTTTATTTTTGAAACACACTTACCGTGTTTCTCCCAAAAATAAGACCCGCCCATAAAATAAGCCCTAGCAGGATTTCTGAGCATGTGTGCAATAGAAGCCCTACCCCGAAAAATCAGACCTAGTGACGGGCGTGGCCACGCAGAGCAACTGCACAACCCATGCAAGTCGCCACGGAGCGGGAAAGAGGATGAGCAGCCCTTCTCACCCGTCCCATCGTGACAGCTGCCGTCCCAGAGGTGACCGGAAAGGTGCGGGAAGCTCCACCAACAAGGTCGGCTCCCCCTGTCGGGTCCCGGCCATCCTGTGCGTGCTGCAAGCTGAGGCTTTGAGGGGAAAATAACACGTGCCCTGAAAATGAGCCCTAGGGTGTCTTCTTGAGGAAAAATAAATAGAAGACCCTGTCTTATTTTCTGGGAAACACGGTACTTGATTATATGTGTGCATTCTTGGTGCTCGACAGTAAAACCCTATTCGGTTATAGGCACTGTCATTGTCCCATTTTACAGAAAAGGAAGCTGATTTGTTTTTGGTGTCCATTTGATTCTTGATACTGGTCAGCTCATGAAAAGAAGGTAAACCCACTCTCACATCAGAATCTTGGAATGCTTCATGGAGAACCAGAAACAATGCTTTTTATTAACATTGAAAAGTGACGGCTATGATGTCATTGCTCACTCATGTACACGCAAAGACACATCTGTGAGGCTCTGAGAGCAAAGTCAGGTCATATTTAAGACGTTTAAATAAGCTTGTGTTTCTTCTAATCCCCAGGAGATATTTCTTAAGTCTATTTGAAGTGCATATATTAAAAAGTTAATAATTGGCCAGGTGCAGTGGCTCAGGACTGTAATCCTAGCACTTTGTGAAGCTGAGCCAGGAGGAATCACTTGAGACCAGGAGTTTGAGCCCAGCTTGGGCAATATAGCAAGACCGAATCTCTACAAAAAGTTTAAAACATTAGTTAGGTGTGGTGGTGCACACCAGCAGCCCCAGCAACTTGGGAGGCTGAGGTGGGAGAATCACATGAACTCAGGAATTTGAGGCTGCAGTGGGCTATGATCAGGCCACTGCACTGCACTGCAGCCTGGGCAACACAGCGAGATTGTGTCTTTAAAAAAAAAGTTAATAATTATCTTCTATATACATTATATAAATGACATGCCAGAATTAATTTCTATATTCATGAAGACAAGTTTTGCAATCAAGCATTTCTGTAAATGGCAAACATAAATTAGCTTCAAAGATAAAGAAGATATTAATAATAAAAATTATAGTTTATGACATTCTAAATACTTTTTATGTATAAATTCATATTTAATCACCAATATAAGCCCAGGGGGAGGCTATTTTTAATCTCTATTTTACAATGGAGAAAGTAAGTGGGAGAGAAAACGTGACTTACCAACATCACTCAGGGAGGTACTGGACCCAGAATTTGGCATTTCAGACTCTGGCTCACCACTAAACCCTGTTGCCCTTTGAAATGATAAAGTGTATCATCTCATAAATGTTTGTTTAAACTTTTATATTATAGATTATAGGCTACATTTACTTATACTACGTTTGTCAAAGCTATTAATTTCCCTGCGATTAACAACCAATCTATCCAAAGGCAGATGAACCCATTTTTGATCTTTTTTTTTCTTTTGAGACAGAGTTCCGCTTGTCGCCCAGGCTAGAGTGATGCCATGTACGCAGCCCTAGCTCACAGCAACCTCAACCTGGCTCAAGCGATCCTAACTGCCTTGGCCCCCGAGTAGCTGGACAAAGCGCATGCGCCACCCTGCCGCCGAATTTTCTCTCTATATTAGTTAGCAATTAAATTCTTTTCTTTTATATATAGACGGTCTTGCTCTTGCGCGGCTGGATTTCCGAACTCTGACCTCTAGCATCCACCAGAGTGCTAGATTACAGGCGTGAGCCACTGCGCCCTCTCATTTTTGAGCCTTTAATATACTGAAATGTAATACAGTCATTATTGCTTATTTCTCTCATTCTGAAGTAACATACTGTCTTTTAGATGGTTACTAGAGACCTCGAAGGCCAGTCCTCTCAGAAGGATGAACCAAAGTTATAGGTGAACAATCACACTGCGACAGAGTTATCATCAGTGGTGAGTGCATGGAACCCACATACTTGGGTATTAACTTAAAGTAAATGAGCTCCAGCCTACACTAAGATATAGATGGCAGAACAGATAACATAATAGCATCCACCATTTGCTGCTTACATTAGATCATCTAACGGTAAAGACAGCTTAAGACTCAAGTAAAGGAGTGAAAAGATAATCCATGCAACAAACCAAGTGGCAGAGGACTATACTATATCAGATAAAAGACTTTAATCAACAATATAAAAAAAACAAATATGTCATTACATAGATAAAGGGATCATGCAACCAGGAAGATACAAGAAGCCTAAATAAATAGCACCCAACACTAGAGCACCAGATTATAAACAAATACTATAGGCTAAGAAGAGAAGACACAATCAGTAATGCAGAGGATTCATGCCCCACTCAAGCATAGACAGATCATATAGAAGAATACAAAAGAAAACCAACGAATAACGAACTTAATTGACCCTAGACCAAATGCCTACAGACATTTATGAATATCTACCTAAACCTCAAAGTTACATTCTTCTTATCAGAAAGTAGAATATTTTCCAAGATAGATCATATGTGAGAGCGCACAAAACCAATCTCAATAATTTTTAAAATTGAAATTATATCAAGTATCTTCTGACCACAGTAGAATAAAACTAGAAATCAACTCAAAAAGGAACTGTCAAACTATGCAAATACATGAAATTAACAACTACCCAACTTACTGAATGATCTTTGGGTCAATGATGAAATCAAGATGGAAACTAAAACATTTCTGAAACAAGTATGGATACACACATATCAAAACTTCTGGGATAAAGCAAAAGCAGTGTAAATGCCTACGTCACAAATATAGAATGACCACAATTATACAACTATGTGGCAACTCCAAGAACCTATAAAAAAGATAACAACCAAAGCTGGCAGAAAAAAGAAATAACAAGATTGGAGCAGAATTAAAATAATAGACAAAAAAAAATCATAAACAAAAAATATAAAGGATCAATGAAAGGAAAGTTGATTCTTTGAAAAGATAAACAAAATTGACAGATCAATAGTTAAATTAACCAAGAGAGTAGATTCATTAAGCAAAATCGGAAATGAAAAAGGAGACATTATAACTGATATCACAGAAATACAAAAGATCATTAGATACTATTATGAACAGCTCTATGCTCACAAACTAGAGAACCTACAAGAAATGGATAAATTCCTGAAAACATACAACCTCCCAAAATTGAACCAGAAAGAAACAGAAATCCTGAACATACCAATAATGAGTGGTAAGATTGAATCAGTAATAAAAACACCTCCCAACAAAAAAAGCCCAGGACCAGAGAGATGCACAGCCAAATTCTACCAGACATACAAAGAAGAGCTGGTATCAATTCTACTGAAACTGTTTCCAAAAATTGAGGAGGAGGGAATCCTCCCTAACTCATTCTATAAAGGCAGCACCACCCTGATATCAAAACCAGGAAAGGACACAACAAAAAAGAAAACTATAGATCAATATCCTTGATGAATACAGATGCAAAATCCTCAACAAAAATAATAGCAAACAAGACCTTATAGCACATCAGAAAGATAATATACCATGATCAAGTGGGTTTTATTTCAGGGATGCAAGGATGGTTCAATACGTGCAAATCAATAAATGTAATTCACCAAATAAATAGAATTTTAAAAAACCCCATATGATCATCTCAATAGATGCAGAAAAAACATTTGATAAAATTCAGCATTCTTTCATGATAAAAATCCTCAACAAACTAGGCATAAAAGGAACTTACCTAAAAATAACAAGAACCATATACATAACAAACCCACGGCCAACATCAAACTGAGTGGGGAAAAGTTAAAGGCATTCCCCCTAAGAACTGGAACAAGTCAAGGGTGTCCACTGTTACCAATTCTATTCAACATAGTGTTAGAAGTCCTAGCTAGAGGGAGCAGGTGAGAGAAAGAAATAAATTTCCAATCCAAATTGGAAAAGAGGAGGTCAAATTATCTCTGTTTGCTGATGATATGATCTTATATCCAGAAAACCACAAAGACTCCTCCAAAAGACTCTTAGACTTGACAAATAAATTTAGTAAAGTTTCAGGATACAAAATCAACATATAAAACCAGTAGAATTTCTATATACCAGTAACAACCAAGCTGAGAACCAAATCCAGAACTTAATCCCATTTACATTAGCTACAAAATAATAAAATGTCTAGGAATACATTTAACCAAGGAGGTGAAAGATCTTTACAAGGAAAAGTACAAAACACTGATGAAAAAAATCATAGATGACATGAACAACTGGAAAAACATATCATGTTCATGGATTGGAAGAATCAATATTGTTAAAATGACCATACTGCTCAAAGCAATCTACTGATTCATTGCAATTTCTATCAAAATACCAATGTGTTTTTTCACAGAATTAGAAAAAAGATTCTAAAATTCATATGGAACAAAAAAAGAGCCTGAATAGCCAAATCCATTGTAAGCAAACAAAACAAAGATAGAGACATCACATTATCTGACTTTGAATTATACTACAAGGTTAAAGTAACCAAAAGAACATGGCATTGGCATAAAAATTGACACACAGATCAATGGAACATAACAGAGGACCCAGAAATAAAGCCACATACCTACAACTAATGGATCTTCAACAAAGTAGACAAAACATACACTGTGAAAGGACAACCCATTCCATAAATAGTGCTGGGAAAATTGGATAACTGTATACAGAAGAATGAAAAGAGACCCATATCTCTCACCATGTATAAAAATTAACTCAAGCTGGATTAAAGACTTAAATGTCAGACCTGAAATTATAAAAATTCTAGAAGAAAATCTAGGGAAAAGCATTTATGACTAAGATCTCAAAAGCAAATGCAACAAAAACAAAAATAGACAAATGGGACTTAAAGTAAAAAGCTTCTGCACAGCAAAAGAAATACTCAATAGAGTAAACAGACAACTTAGAGGATGGGAGAAAATATTTGCAAACTATGCATCTAACAAAGCAGTAAAAGCCAGAATCTACAAGGAGCTCAAACAGCTCAA